TGTTGTCATTTGAAGATAACTTTTATTTTTCTAGAAATGGGTTTTTTAAGCTGTCAGTTTTCACATGGGCTTTGTGGGAGGGTGACCTGGTGTATTTACTGCTTCTTGCTCTCAGACACCCCTATAAGCCTCAAACAAGCCGGATGTTGCTGGGTTTCCCCCCAACTGTTTTATTGTGGTTAAATACCCATGTGATATTAACTGTAATCAACATGTGTATGCATACAGATCCATGGTATAAAGCACATTCGCATTTTTTTTTAACAGTCATCACTACTATCCACCCCCAAAACTCTTTTCATCTTGCAAAGAACTAAACAGGAAAATAATAATTCCCTGTGCACCGCCCCCCCCCCCAGATTTTGTATAACATTGATGATCTCCTGTGTCCCCTTAAGTTCAAGGACTAAAAGATCTGTTTACTTAAAATGTCTTCTTTTTTCATGTCAGCAGACAATTTTTGAAAATCCTCCTGAACTCCTACTGGTTCTCTCTGCTATGAAGCAGGCTTCTCAAAAAGAGAAGTCGCTTTCCCTCTCCACCTCTTAAAATCAGCAGTCAGTATTTCAAAACATAGTCAAAACCTGCAATATCCTGACCAAAAAGACTGAGAACAGGTGTCTATGAGAAAGTCAGAGATTGAGGTCCTAGGACTAGCAGCTACACCGTGTCAAGTTCTGAAAAGCAATTTTGTGGGACCAAGCAAGAGGCACACGGATGCCTAAATTCACTGATCTAGAAATTCCTCTTGCATAATGAATGGCATGTACAAAGACAAATAAAAAACTGGGTATTGAATTCATGTCCATCAGTAGGGGCTTGCATAGATAAAAATCTATATGGACACCTGTTCCTTTCTTCCCTTGACAGTAAAAAAATAAATAAAATAAAGTCTCTGCAGACTCCTGTGCAACCATTACAAATCATGTCTGAGTTTGCTATACAGTGAAATGTTTACACTAGAATGTGAAGTTAAAAAAAAAAGATGTAAAATAGTATATATGTTATGATCTCAGCTTTTTTTTTTAAGGTCGTCTGCAGAAAAAGGCATGATAAAAGCCACTTTAGGGCTAAACAATGGTTCTATCTAGAAGGTGGAATATTGTGCAACTTTCAATGTGTTTATGTTTCTTTTCTTTTTTTTTGGTATTTTCTATGACTGTGCGTCTCTTCTATAATCTGAAAAGTGTATACAAATGTTATTGAGCATTATCTAAATTTCAGGTAGATAATGTGATGACTTTATATATGTATGTATTATAAAATGATTACCCCAGTAAGGTGGGTTAACACATCCTTCACCTCACATAAGTTATAATTTTGTGTGTATAGTCAAAACTTTTGAAGTCTTATTAACTTTCAAATATACAATATGAAACTTTTTTTTTTTTACTGTAATCACCTGAGGACTGGTCTCATCTTTTATCAGTTTGTTACGGATGCAGGAACTTGAGGTAGGAGCTCTTGCACTCATTCACTGTATTATCTTGGGCCAGCTCTGTCCTCCCTGGGCCTCCTTATTTTTACCTGCAAAATGCTGATTGGGACCTAGAATCCACACATCTGTGATTCTAGGACTGAGAACCACAAGAAGGCAGGGACAAAATCGCATGAGTTTTTTTCTCTGGGAAGGGTTCACTTTAACAATAACATGAAGGGAAAAAAAACATGAAAAAGTCACCACTGTTTATTTGAGTTACCTTTGGTAGACCTGTACTGTACGCTTAGTGGAGATACTCTTAGTAAACCCTCATAATAATCTTAGAAGAAGCACTCATTTTATTCTCGTCTGATTTGTCAGACGAGAAACAGCCTCAGGGCCCTCCCTGGTGGTGCAGCACGCTGAAGTACACTAAGAAGCTAAAGCCACTTGCGTATGAGTTCCATCCCCACCTGCCTGCTCCAGAGGTGATCCCACCTGGTGAGGCAGACCTCTCCTGGCCCACCTGCTGTTCCCCTCAGCAGTGTACTTCAACAGTCTGCCTGTTCTGCTCCCCACTTTGTCTCTTGTGGGTCCTCTCACGGCCCCTGAACCTGTGGCCTGTACTCCAGTTCTGTATGCATAAAGAAAGAAAGAAAGAAACAGCCTCAGAGATGTTAGGTAAGTGGCCCGAGGTCACAGTTATGTTGGGACTTCACTGCAGATCTCTCTCTACCTTGGAGTTCTCCTAGTTCACCACTTTGGAAAGGCCCAGAGCTCAGAAGCAGCAGTGATTCTGAACCAGCAGTGTCCTTCGGCCAGATGTCCTGTCAGCTATGCTCCCCTTCACTGAGACACAGCATCCCGGCCATCACGGCTACTTAGGGTTTTTTAAATGCATATTTATGTCCTACCATTCTGTTTTATTCGGCAAAATTAATGAATGAATGCTTGATCATAGCAAAAAAATTCTCTGTTCTTTTATTTATCAAGCCAAAAGAATTTTTCTTCCCTCCTCAGGGAACAAGTCAGTCCAGGAATCAGTTAATATTTCACAATTCAGCAGAATGAAGTCAGGCAATGAAAGAGAGACCTTGTAAAACTCTGAGGAGAATGGATCTACACTCCAAAGTTCCAGAAGTTTCCCATCCCAACTCTGCTCCCCCGGAACCTGTTAGTGTAACAGGTACAGGTTTCATGGACTCCGCCCCTACTCCAGATGTTGGAACTCCAAATCCCATCAGTACCAGGAAGAAGCACGCCGGGACGTGAGGGCGGAGCTGAGCAGCCAGGTTGGGGTAAAACCGGACATGTTGGGCTCTGGGGGTCTCTTGGCCTGGTGGTTCGCAGCTGATTGTTTTGGCGCTCAATCGGTTTTCAGCGTGCCGGTGGAGTCCACGTCAGCAGGACTGGTAGGACATCCTAGTTAACCTGTGTTTCTCTCCCTCTTTCCCTGGGTTATTCCTTTACCTTTCTCCTTGTAAATAAATCCATTATTTAACCTTTTGAGTGTGTCCATAATACGATTGAATCGTAAGCGCACGCGTGAAGACCCACAGACAGGCAACCCAATTCACATTCGGGTGCCCTGTAACATTAGTATTCCACACTTTCCTCAGTAGTCCAGTGATCCGGGCCCCCCACCTTCAGCTTGTTATCCCTAAAACCTCAGGGCTATAGCCCTTGTGATGCTAATTCATGCAGAGTGTGCTTGTTAGCCCACTTCTCTTTTCTGAGTTTAACTGATAATCAAAGAAGTTGAAGGTTCCTCTCATCCTGGGAAGCCTCTGGATCTGAGCTTCCCTGTTACCCATAATATGTGCTCAATAAAAGCTTTGTAATGTGCTAACTTACTTGAATGTATCAAAAACTAAAAAGTTGCTGTTATTCCCATGGCCAGGGACTAATAATGTACAGGAGATAATTGAAGAGGAAAGAAGAAATTACATGAGTAAAAATACTGTAAAATATGTACTTGCTGAATATTGGAAACAAGTGAGATGTTTATCAGCAGAGTAGTAGTGCGTAAATTTTGATCGTAATGGAACATGATTCATTCTCTCATTCATTCAATAAACACACTGATGCCAGGGAGACCTCTGCAACAGCATGGAGTCAGAAGCTTTCAGTGAGTATGCAACTTGGCAGAATCTTCTAGAATGAGCATTACAAAACAGTTGTTGGTAACCTAACATTAAGAGACAAAAGCAGATTAAAAAATTGTGCATTCCATTTACAATGCTGAACGTGACACTCTGATCAGGGACTCAATGGGCAGATGAAAACAGTACATGGTTAGATTGTGGATGACATTATCTTTTGCATTATTACATCTTTTTCAGGTCTTAGACCATCCCAAATGTTTACCTGGTACATGACCCTGGATTTCCAGATTGGCTGTGGTGTGACTGCCGATGAGTCTCCCCATGCTGGAGTTGACTGGGAGGGAATGGAAGGGCAGTCTGGGAAGGATGGGGTGGGGGGCTATCAATCTGTAGGGTCAGGGGTGTTCATTGAGTGCCAGTGTAGGAACCAGCCTCCTCTGTGTCTGGACTGCATCATGCAGCAGAGCGGGCAGTTATCCAGGCTGGAGGGGTAAGCTGCATTTGGAACCAGACGAAAGGGCTGTGACACGCCAGGGTGTGTGGCTGCTTCCTTAGGTCGGGAAGATGCCCCATGTGTGAGAAGAGTCCAGGAATCAGTTAATATTTCACAATGGGCACACTAAAACTCAGGTGGCCCCAAGCTACCCTGCAGCAAATAGAGCTGCGGTTGGAAGCTACCTTTTCTCACTCTGTATTAGGGTTCCTTCTTTTTCTCCCCCTGCGCCTGGGAGCTGAATGGAAGAGACAGTGGCTGACAAGGTGGAGTCCCTTGGGGGCGTGCTTTGGTGGGATGGTGTGAGAGAACTTCTCAGAGGCCTTAGTCTGGACTTGATAGGTGGGCAGTGGGGCAAGGTAGAAGGGGGTTAGTGAAGAGGAGGCTGGTACTGTGTGCTGGTTAGTGTGATTGGGGCGGGCTGGGCCAGACACATGGCAGGGTTGTTGGGCAGCTCTTGTCCTCTCGGATCTAAACAGTACTCACCCTGCTGGTGACTTGGAAACACGTCCTTCTTCACCTTTAGCCAGTTTGGAGTAGAGGCTACATCTTTTCTGCCCCTTCCCTGTAGAGAACACCCTCTGGCCAGGGATGGTGTCTGACACCAAACTGACCAAGTGAAGCCTCTCCCTGGGAGTCTGATCCTGGAGCCAGAATGGGGTGGATCGCAGTCCCATTCTGATGGTGAAATTGTCATATATGAGTGCAGGGGTACCGTCACCACCCAGAGATCTGACAGAAGAGGGAGTTTGTGCCACAGGTAAGCCACAGCCTCCACTCGCTCCTCAGCTACTTGTCTGAGCCATTGATGTGAGCAATATTTATCACCTCCCCTTTTAGCTAAGTCAGTCTGAGTTGAACTTTTACCATTTGTTAACAAAAAATGTCCTAATATTTACCATAAAGACATACCTTCTTGTATCATTGAAATTTAAGCTTGTTTCTCAAAACCCCGTTAGGGTTATTTTTGTGGGGCAGGGCCTTGGGTTCATCATTTCTTGGAAGTAAAAAACAAAGCCAAAAAAATCTGCACTCATTTTTCAGGCCCCGGGTTTCTGCAGGGACAAGGCTTGGCGATCCTCTCAGAGATGGATGGATGTATCGTCAACACTGGAGAAGTGAGTAACATTGCTGCTGACCATGCTCTCCTGTCTGCTTCTTTGGGTTTCAGACAGGGAAAAAGTGACGTGGACTGAACGACCACACAGGACAGTCAGGCATTTCCTGTACAGGTGGCAAAGGTAATGTCTGAACTTCTCTCCAGCAAAGGCATAGATGAACGGGTTGAGGCAACAGTGAATAAATGCAGTGGTCTCAGTCACATTCAGGGCCATCCTCACATTCCTCTTCATGTCACAGTTGGGAAAGAAGTCATAGAAGATGAGTGTCTCTAAGAAGATCATAACATTGTAGGGGGTCCAGAAGAGGAAGAACACGACAACCACCAGCAGGATCAGTTTAATGGCTTTGGCTTTCTTGTGGTTCTTGCAGAAGAACAGTGTCCGCAGGATTTTGAAGTAGCAGTAACTCATAATGAGCAGGGGGAGCAGGAAGCCAAGGAAGTTCACCTCCATGTTGCGGAGCACAGGCCAGATGTCCTCCAGGACCTCGGGGTAGTCACCTAGACACTCGTTTTCTACTTGTTTTGTGAACATGAACTGGGGTGCTGCCACCAATATGGCCACTGCCCAGACGCCCAGGCTGATGGTGACACTGTGTTGCACAGTTCTGTTGTTCATGGAGTTGGCAGCCATGACGATGGCCAGGTATCTATCGATGCTGATGATGGTGATGAAGAAGATGCCTCCAAAGAAGCCAATGAAGAAGAAGGCAGTAGTGAGTTTGCACATGGCATGGTGAAGGCCTTGTTCATTGGTCAAGTAGTGAGTCCAGAAGGGGAGAGTGGCTACAAAGAGCAGATCAGACAAGGCCAGGTTCAGTAGGTAAATGTCCGTGATACTTTTGCGCTTCTGGCTGTGGGTGAGGGCAAATACCACCAGCAGATTTCCCACAAGGCCAAAGGCAAAGACCATGGAGTAGATTACGGGCAGGAAGACAGAACCGAAGGCCACAATGTCCCCCAGGTAACAGGCTTCACTAGACTCATCGTACTCAAAGTTTTTAAAAACTGAGTCAGGGGAAACAGTGGACATGGTGAGGACCTGATCACAAAAGAAAACAAGTCAGAGCGTTAGTTCTCAGAGGAAAAAGACTGGAATTCTGCATGGCAGTATCCCTCAGCAGGTTGGAAAAACAAAGACCAGCCTCGTCCCCAGCCAACACGTCTCTCAGTCACACATGCTGTCTTGTTTAAAATTCACAGCAGTCTTGAGTTGGAGGTTGTAACAAACACTTAAGACAAAGGGGAAGCCAGGTCTCTGAGAGGGTCATTGACTTGCCCAAATTATGGAGCAAATGGCCCACCTGCATCTAGGTCTTGGGTATAGGCCTGGTGAAGCCTGACTCAGAAGTTGCATTCGTTGATTTTTGAAAGTCTCTCCACAGGTGGTTAGTTGACCAGTGTGTGGACAGGGGGCAGATGACCTCGGCAGCAGGAGGAGGATTGGATGGTGGCGAGTGCAGCCGCAGCTCACATCTCCAGTCCACACTTCCCCAGAGCAATTCTCTGTCCCCTACCATTAGTTCCAGCTCCTCTGTCCCCTGGGCCCTGTTCCTCCTGCATGAAGCCAAGGCTGAAGAGCGAGGCCTCTTGACTCTCCAGAACCTGAGTGGACCTATACCTCAAAGTTCTCATCTTTGTTTTTGAGAGTCATTTCTTTTCCTCTTGGAAACCAGTCTTACTCTTCTTTAAAGGGATAAGGAGTAGGTTATCCACATGATACAGACTAGCTGGTCATGGCTTGCCCTGGACTTTTCCGAGTTTAGCACTGAAAATCTTACATGCTGGACAGTGCTCTGTTTTAAGCAAACCAGAATGGCTGCTCCAGTGGCCATCGCCCAGGTCTAGAAGGACTGACTGACCCAAGATGGAGGCAGGTGCTTCATAGCCTGCCGGGCTGGGCCCCTGTGGCTAATTAACCCAGTAATTGCCAGCCCTACACTGACCCTCCCCACTACTCTTACGTCCTGTTTCCCTCTGAACAAAAATTTTAAAATGAGATATTTATGCACAGGTTAGGAGCTAACACTTGTCCAATCCCCCTCTTTCCTCATTTGCTTCAAGGTTCAAGGCCGCTGTTTGCTTTGGGCCTGTGAGGCCTCCCCTTCCTCGTGACAGTGCAAACAGGCCCCTCCGAGCCCCCAGCATGTTCAGAACTCAAGCCCTGCTTGTCACGCCCCCCCCCCCGCAACTAAATGCACAGCTCGCACCCTTTACCCGAGGGTGTTCCTGCACCAATGGTGCCCTTTTCACTGTGGTTTTACCACCATGGTGTGTTTCCCAAGGTGAGAACCCACCCAGCCAGGGATCAGCTTCTCCCTTCCCAGCTGCTGCCTCATGCTGAGCCCAATTCTGCATCTTACCCACACTCTTCCAGGTGAAGACTTTCAGCCCTGGGCCGTCTGAAGCTGGGATGGTGCTCTTCAAGCCCAGAGAAAGTCGCTCTTTCTTTGCATCAGGCTACAATGTTCTTTTCTCAGAAAGGAACCGCTAGCCATGACCCTCATTAATAATATTTAAATCAAGCTGTATACATTAATAATATTTGAGTGATGTGCAACCATAAGCCACATGAGTGGCAGTTTCAAGTGACTAAGCCGCACTGTGACGAAACAGCAGCACAGGCAGCCTATGGTGTCTTTGCCGGCATGCAGCCGTGCAGTCAGGCCCTTGCTGGATGGCATTGGGGGTCCCAGGGCTAGCCACCCCTCTCCCCAGCTCCCCCACAGTCAGAGGGCTGCGGCTGATTTCCAGAGGACACCAAGACCAATGAAATTCCTTTGCTTCTGCTTATGTTCATGCTTCCTGAAGCCAAACAACATCACGCTTAACTTTGCCAAACCCGCATGAGTAGGTGTGATTTCCAGTGTAGGCACTGCGGCTCACACACAGGCTCACAACAATTCCTCAGGCGGGCATGCCTGGGTCATTGTGAGGGAAGAGCGGAGAGGCAGGTGGGAAGGGCTGCAGACCTGGGCTCTCCAGAGGCTGAAGTGTGCACTGCCCTCTCCGGCCAAGGGACCTTGGATGGAGTCAGAACCTCTGGCCCGATGCTGCTCACCTGCAAGACAGGGGTTCACTCTCTCCCCAAGCTGATGGTTCTGCAGGGCACACCTTGCTAGAACAGGTTCTCAATCAAATAAGGCGAGGGAGCAGAGCACCTTCACCTCAGGCACCACCCAGGCTGCCTGGGGCTGTTCGTGTGTTCCTCTTCTGCCCCAGGCACTGTGGAGTTTGGCATGTAAAAGCTGGTTGCTTTATTTGGCCTGAAATAACAACACACCGTCAACGTAAAGCCACTGTGGAAAGGGCATATTGAGTGCGTGTAGAAACACCCTCCGGTAAAGAGGTGTGAGCTGTGCGTGTAGTTGTGGTGGGAGGCAGTGACAGCCAGGACCTGCGTTCTGAACAGGCGGGGTTTTTGGTAGAGGGGCAACGGGAAAAGTTGGACGCCCTCTCCTAAGCGGCCAGGCGCGCTGCTAAACACTCGATTATCTTCTCCAGCCTCTGCGATTCTAAGAGGAAAAGCCCTGTGTTAATCCGCTCCCTATTGAGTGACGCCAGGGCTCTCCACCCGCAATGAGAGGGAGGTAGAGCCGGGACAGGAGGGCAGACGAGGCAGGTGCAGCTGGAAGTGGGTGTCTGAATGCCTGGCTGGGGGAGGCGGGCACGCTGCCAGCCTCTCACCTTGCTGGGCGCCAGGTTCAGCGTCGCGCTCTCTAATTCACGTCAAGATGGCAAAAAGGCAGGTTTGCGGGTGAGGGGCTCGACAGCGTTATAGCAACACATCTGCCAGCCCATGGGCCTGGGCTCAGCGCCCTGGAGATGCCAGTCAGGTGGCTGCGGACTGTCATCGCCACAGGGGTGACGACTGTGATACAGGTGGGGTGAGTTCGTTCCTCCTCCTCCTCCGCGCAGGTGGGTGTGAGCTCAGCTACACCATGTGTGTGGGGATTCGGTGTGACTGCCGGCCTCACTGCTTCCTGACAGCTGCACCCTCTGTCCAGCTTGCGACCACGTCCTCCGTCCAGATGGCGTGCTAAGGGTTCAGCGACAACCAGGGTCTCATCCTGCCTCCTGGTGGCTCGGGGCTCCCTAGCAAACCCCAGAACCTTCTCCACCTCCCACGGTGCCCCGTCGCCGTCGTCTGGAGCACTTATACAGTGCCGTGGCATACATAGGAGGCCCACACTCGGCATGCCGTGCTTCCTGCCACAAGCACCCCATGCTACACAGGCCCAAGTGGGAGGCACAGCTCCAGTGAGGCCTGGGGTGAGTCTGAGGGTCTGCTAGTCCCTTCAAAGTACTTATGAGACAGCTTGGGGGCAGGGAGGAGCAGGAGAGTCAAGGGGGTGCAGGAAGATGCCCCTGCTTTGGTCCACGTCTCTCTCCTTCCAGCTTCCTCGAGATGAGTGAGATCTGACATGGAGCAAACACTACAAGCATATTTGTGGCAGGAGAAATACTGTATTCCAGACCTGGGCTCCAAAGTGTCCCTGGAGAAGTGGCGACAGCAGGTGCCCTTTTTGAACCTGGCTAGGGGCCCTGACACTCTGAGAGTTAATGTGTGGAAGGAGGGAGGGAAGGTGGGGGTGGAAGGCTTGGGAAAGTGAGAAGACACGCAGCAGCTTCTGACTCAGAGTTGCAAATCGCCAGGGTGGGGAAACTTAGTCTAGAAACACAGCTGCCCATGTCTGCTCCCTCTTTGAACTAGTGGTTCTTGACTGTATCTGACAGTGAAAAAGGCCCCTGTGTGAGAAATTTCAAGGCTCCCCTCTGTGCTCTACCTCAATGGGGTGACTCGGGTCCCTGGGGTTCTGCATGGTTGGGAAGGGGATTTGCAGTCTATGCTGCTGTTGATTCAAGGGCAGGAGCCCCACGCACTCAAGGGCATCCCTTAGGTCAGAAATCTGACATCAGCAAGCACTCTGTCATTGACGTGCCCTGCGGAGACTGGTAGTGTCATCGAGGCACCTCTGTGTGCGGGGTGACCAGGCTGGGGGCACTTTTCACTTCTGGATCCTCTGAGGCGGAGGGGAGATTGGCCTAAAGATAGGGCCTCCTGGCAGATGTGAGTGGTGCCAGATATAAGGGTCTCAGGGCTCTAGTCACTTTCCATTTTAGGCTGGATGTGGACTTTCCTGGCCCATGAGGACATCGGAAACCCCATGCAGATCCCAGTGAGACCAGCTTTCAGCACCCAGGCAGCTGGGTGGCCCAGAAACGAGGGTGGAGCGGGATGCTCTGCTCGTGCCCGGCCTGAGGCTGCACATGCTGCTTAGGGCAGTGGCCAGCAGGGACACCCGTCCTCTCGGGGCTCTGCTGGCCCTTTATTCCGTGAAGCAAGGTCTTATGAAGTGGTGCTGAGCTGGGAGAGTGAGCAGAACCTGGAAGCCAAGCTTGGAGTGCACATGGGTCTCCTACAAGTAGGATGAATTTTGGGGAGCCCTGCTGCCTGAAGTCTCCACCAGCCAGCAGAGCCCACACTGCTTGCTTCCCAGCCTACTTCCTTTTCTGAAGTCTGTGCGCTTACTTTTTAACCTTTAATTTCTCAGTCATTACCCTGGGTTTCCAATCAGCTTCCCTTTTCTTTACTTCCCTTCTCATGGTGATGAGCCAATTCCATCTCCTTTTGCTGCCTGATGCTCTTTCCTTATCTTTTGACTTTCTGCCCTGCTTACTCTTTTCTGGACCTGGTGCATCTTCTTTTAGTATTTTACCCTTTTTAGTCTCCATGTGGATTGTGGGTGCTTGCATGAAGACTGCATTTGAAGTTGAGTCTAATGCTAAGAAAATTGTGAGGCGTCAGTTTTTTCCTTGGACCAAAGGGAACTCAAGATTTGCTTGACCTGATACTCGCTTTCCCATGGGTTTGTCCTTGGCTGCTAACTGCAGAATCTGAGCTTTTTCTCAGAAAGCCCCCGCTCCGAAGGAGGGGTAGCTGTTGTTTCTAGTCACTGCTGCATACCCAGGGCCCCATTTCTTTGCCTTCCACAACCCCACTGAGAAAGGACTCTCGGCCCTGGACAAAGTAACCTGCAGAGGTTCAGGGCATCAGGAAACTTGTCCAAGAGAGACAAAGACAGGGTCTCAGCCAGGACACAGCCTTCACGCTCCCCATACTGCATTTTCTAGAACACTCCCTCCCCCGCAAAAAAGAGAGAATCCATGATGCAGCCTGGAATACTCTTCCTCCCCTCCCATTTGGACCCAGAACCCAGAGGCTGGTCCTCAGTGATGTGAGGCGCAGAGATGTAGGACCAATGATCACTTGTCACTCCCACACCATGAGGTGATTCCCTGCTGGTTCCAGAACCCCAGGTCTCAACAATGCTGAACAAATGGGGGCTTTCTCAATGACCTGGATGTCACTTATTTGAAACACGGACATTGACAGCACCCCATCTTCCAGGGTGTATGGGGGAGGAGAAGCCTAACACGAGTGGGTGCCATCTCCCTTCATAAAAAGAAGAGGCAGTTGCTAGTTCTCTGGTTGGTGACCTCAGCACTGTGGGGACGCTGGGTGAACAATGTGGCGGTAAGGTCCTCTCTCTGAGAGCTAGTCAGAGTTCTATCCCACCGCCTGAGTGGTGGTGAGATGGGTGATCAATTTATAATAAGCAGCTATCCTGTACATTGTTCTTTGAATATGCTAGAATTACAGTGAGCACAGACTTAGGGGAAAGAGTCCTGGGAATTTCTTAAAAGACATGAACTAAAGGTATTTTTCTCTAGTAAAACTCATAATTCAAGTCGTTCCATTTTGGCTAGACCCAAAGATGAGGTATGGAGGTACCCAGGGTGGTCAGAAGCCTTGGGATTTCCAGCCTGCTGGCCACCAGCACTTTCCAGGCCCCCAGAGATCAGGCAGGGTCAGGGCTTGGTGGGAAGCTCATGGAGAGCACGCTGCTGGGAATCAGAACCTTTCCTCAAAAAAGTCAGAAGCCTGGCCATGCCACCTGGTCCCCAGCTTCTGACTGACTTGTGTGGGAGAGCAGGAACTTGCCTTGCTGTCAAGTTCCCCCACTGCACATTCTCAGAGAGCAAAGTCTGAGCCTATTAAAACTGGTAGCTGAGAACTCTTCCAGGTCAGAGAGGTTGAGCTGTGTGTGTAGGGGTGTGTGTGTGTGTGTGTGTGTGTGTGTGTGTGTGTGCACCAAATGACCCAGATTCTGGAAGGGGATTCTTTGGGGCCCAGGTCTTTTGGTTTTGGGGGGACCTCCTGGACATACTGTCCTCTGCAGCCAGGTCAGGGTGAGAATGGGTGCCTCTTGGGGTGGGGGACAGGACAGAAATGAAGTTGGCGTTGAACTAGGTAGGCTCTGGCATCTCCTTCCTCTCCTGCCCCTCACAATCTCATCTGAAAGTTGTCAGTGATCTTAAAGTGTACTCAACCCCTGAGTCTCACTTTCCCAGGACAATCTACATTTTTAAGTACCATATTTGGGCCACACGGTGTGTGTGGAATTTTATATACTTGCCTTTAATCCTCACAGAATTCAATCTTCACCCTTAACTCAGTTTCAAGGATTATCAACTCCCAGCCTATCTCCATTTTAAAAGCAAGACTCAGGAAGCTCAGCCAGGTCAGGCCCAATCAGGATGTCATTCCAAAACCAGACTGTCTGCCCACAACCCCACGTGTGAGACGGGCCTGGGGTGTGGTGGGGTGTGGCAGGATGCTGCTGACCTCACTCTGTGAGGATTAAAGGCAAGTATATAAAATTCCAGGAGTGTGGGGAATAGCCAGGTCAGCCTGAGAACTAAGACCATCAAACTGAGTTTGGGCAGAGACAATTTCCTACCCTGTATCCCTGAGGGAAAATAAAGCCAAGCAAGGAGGATGCTGAAGGGTTGAAGGGTGTGAATCCTCCGGGTCTTCCTGAGGCCTTTTCTCTCTTCCAGGAATTCTGAGCCCAAACCAGAGTCTCTCTCTCTCTCACACACACACACACAGAGTGTTCCCCGCAGCTGAGGTGGCACACCTCTGCCCCCCCTCACAGAGCCTGTGTGTGTGTATCAATAGTGACCATTCCCTGCCAGCCCCTCACACAGTCTAATCTTTCTGGCTCAAGCTTTTTTTTTTTTTTTTACCTCAAGTTTTCTATTTGAAGAAAAGGAAAAGAGAGAAGGGAAATGCTAAAATTCCCTGGCCTGTCTCTGGACCTAGAGATGCAACTGCAGCACCATTCAAGGTCAGGACGGCCAGACCCCGTGCAAGCAGTGACCAACGGCAGCCCAGCTGTTCCCAGCCTCCGAGTCTTTCTTTCCCTCATGCACCTAGACGTGTGTCCACACATCACTTTTCTGAAGGTCACACTTTCAAGTCTCCTGAGCTGTAGTGGACTCAGGGTGATTATCAAGGCACCCACCTCCCCAGTGAACTTTAAATTTGTGCCAGCAACTCATTCATGAAAAGTTTGCATCATAGATGCAGTAGGTGCAGATGCTAAACAATGTACATGTCTAAAAAACGCATTGAAAGAAAAAGGGAAACAAAACCAAAATTATTCACCATCTAAAATCAGCCTCAGCTAGACTAGCTTTTTCTAAATCTAGCTTTTATCTTCATATTATGTATATTTATATTTAAAATGCAGAATGCCATTGTAACATTTTCTTTTTCCTGGAAGTGCACACACAATTCCACAAGTTACTATTCTGATCTTTATTAAATATAATTTATAAAGAACAGTCTACCCCCTTTTCCCAGATTGAAGCTTTGAGGTGAGGGTAATTCCAGTGTATGTACCTTTAAACATCAGGGTGGACAGTACCGCAACCCAATAAGCTTTTACTTGAGCTCTTCAGCATGCTATCTTTATTAACTGAGAAAGACAACCTGGAAAATGTTTAAAATATTTAGAATCTTTTTTGGACTTCGATGTTGGAAACAGAAGGTGCTATTTGAAAAGCCTCTTAGGATACAGTTTGCCAAAATAGACAAAAACAGAGAGCACTCCCACCACCCAGCTCCAAAAATCAACCATATACCTGATTCCCCACCTCATGCCCTACTGGATTATTTAAAAATCCAGACATCGTAACATTTTACCCACAGTGAAATGTGAGTCACTAGTGTGAGTCACTAAAAGAAAAAGTATTATTTTTAAGTTGTAATTTCAATAACAGAAATTCCTTAATATCACCCAAATCATTTTTAATGATGCTTTTTTTTTCAGTTGCTGTCAAATCACAAGCTCTTCTCCATGTCCCCAGCATGTGGTTCCATGATGCTTCTAATCATATTGAGTGCACCATGAATGATCTAATCACCCGCCACCCCAATTCCTCAAGCCCCTTTGTCATTAAGGCTGTGACATCCTCCAGGGAAAGATCTCTCATTGGCATTTAAAGCAAAGCAGCAGCATTAACCAGTCTGGCCTCTGACCACTGCGCCCTGCCCTCCACCCAGAAAGGATGTAGTCTCCTTTGCACCTACCTGAACTGGACCTGGGAAGAGGCCTCTGGACATGCCAGTCCACCAACCTGTCCCACGCAGACTGTGAAGAGAGTATTTCCCTTTCCTGCCTCAGAGGACATCTTTATTGGAAGAAGCAGCCAATAGCATTTGTTTCCTGTAAAGCTATCTTTAGACACCTTTGCAGACAGAGGCTAGAGGCCCTGCTAATGACAGAAGAGGTCTGAATTTACTAACCTGAAAGACAGGAATCTGGAGGCTGACCCAGAAGGGGCTGGAAGAGTGCAAATTTGGGGGCGGTGGCCACAGGCACTCATGGCCTGCCTTCAGGCCAACACAAAAATTTACTGAGCCTCAGTTTCCCTATCCCTAAAAGGGGCCCAGAATACTCACTGGCCAGAATTGAGGCAAGATTAAAGGAGCTACAGCATTTCTCCTCAAAGCAAGATGCCAGGCGGTGGGAGCTAATTGGAAATGTAGCACTTCTGCCCCATCCTAGGCCTGCATTTTAATGAAATTCTTAGGCGACTACAATCACGGTGAGTTTGAGGTACACAACTCACCCACGAAGTGCTCGGCACCTGGTAGATGCTTAACTATTATTTTTCTTCCCCCCACCCCCCCTTCAAGGCATTTAGTGGCTCTCTGTATGCTTCGTCAAGGCAAGTTACACATCTGATGGACACAGGCCACACCCACCAGCTGACCCAAGCTCCTTCCCTGTACCTGTTCTGCCATCTCCACTGCAGCACCTGCGGAGGGGCCCGAGCCCTGACGCTTCCAGGTTATGCGCCTGCCCTGGCCAACTTCTTCTCTTCAGCAAGGTGACTCACCCCCACTTCCCTACCTGCCTGACATATCTGCAGAATGGATGCCACTCTGTCCCCTCCCTACCCCAAGGCCTAGCTGGGTTCTGACACCACTGGGCCTTCAGCACTTATTAAATGGTCACTGACTCCTTCAAGCCTTTCCTGGCTCTTCCCTGCCCCACCTGGTGGTCTGCATCCCAGGATTGCCTCAGCTCTAGTCTCTGTAGTCTCCTGAGGGCAGGGATACCTCTTGTGCTCCCCATCTTGCCTCCTCCTCAGTCCCTGGCACCAGCCAGGACAGAGCTATGGGGTGAGACTGCATGCCCCAGGCTTAATGATCTCCTGATGTTTGAGGAAGTCCATGTGCTGGTCTTTGGCCCTGGTTTCAGGCCCTTTCTCTGCCCTTGGCCATGAGGCTGCAGGAACTTCCTCCCCCTCTCACACCAGCAACTCCTTTCTCTGCTGTTCAGAGGGCTCCTTTCTGAGATCTGACCAAAACTCTGCCTCTCTTCCCATCATGTGCTCTTCCTGGACAATCTCTTCCATGCCACATCCAGATCAGCTCCCCATAGCTCTGCCTCCAGCTGGGTCTGCATAACTTCCCCTGACCATCTCTGTGCTTTGCAACTCTTGCCATTTACCCCATTGGTCATTCTCCACCCAGGAGCCAGAGAGCTCTTTCCAAAACCCTAACAGCAGAAAAACTAAATAGATATTTCCATAAAGAAGGCATACAGAGGGGCATCCCTGGAAACCCAAGGGTTTAAGTCTCAACACTGTGAAGCTATCGCCAGCCACTTCAGCAAGAGTTAGACCCCTGGCCAGGGTGGTGACCCACATGGTGCAGCAGACCTCTCCTGTCTCGCCTGCTGCTCCCTCCAGTGTATTTCAGTCCATCTGCCTATTCTGTTCCCCACTCTGTCTCTGGTGAAACCTCTCACCATGCCCCCTGCCACCTCCGGCCTACACTACAGCTCTTGTATGCATAAATAAATTTTTAAAAGTGGGGCCCTCCCTGGTGGCACAACAAATTAAAGTGTGGCATTATGAGGCTAGCCGCAGGTGCTTGGGTGCGAGTTCAATCCCCACCCCGGAGGTGACCCACATAATGCAGCAGACCTCTCCTGTATCATCTGCTGCTCCCCTCAGCAGTGTACTTCATCCATCTGCCTGTTCTACTCCCCACTCTGTCTCTGCTGAATCCTCTCATCAGTCCTGAGCCTCTGGCCTGTACCCCAGTTCTGTATGCATGCATAAATACATTTTTAAAAAGAAAAAAAAGAAGGCATTCAGAGATGGCCAACAGGCATGTAAACAAAAGTGCATATCACTATTTATCATCAGGGAAATGCAAATCAAACCCTCAGTGAGAGAGCACCTCACACCCATGAGAATGACCCATATAACAGTAAGTGGTAGCTGGGTGGGAGTGAAAGGAGCCCTGTGTACTGGCTGTGGCAGAAAACAATATAGCGGTTCCTTAAATTACTCAAAACAGATCCACTGTGTGATGAAGTAACCACTCCTACATATTACCTGAAGAATAAAAAGAAAAAAACAAACACTAATTTGAAGGGAGATCTGCCCTCCCATGCTCACCGCAGCCAAGTTATGAAGCAGCCTAAGGGCACAGTAATGGATGAGTAGATGTGGAATACACAAGGAGTGGAATACTACTTGGCTATAAAAAAGGGGTGAAGTCTTGCATTGGTGATGAAAAGAGTTAGAACCGACGACAGACCGACAAAGACTCAAAAACTCAGAACTGCAGAAAAATGAAAAGAATTTAATACACTCGCGAGCAGGCTCGAGGCGAGGGGAAGGCCAAGAGCCCCGAGCTATTACAGTGAGCAGTTTTTAAACAGTATTTTAGGGAAGGGAGGGGGTACATTTCAGAGGCATGGAACGAGGAAGTTACAATGGTTTTTAGGATGGCGACCGGATGTCGCTGTTTTTCCGAGAGGTAGTTATCTTTTGGTCAAAAAGGAATTCTTCCCTGCTGAACAAGTCGGGCCTGGTCACAGAAAAACCTCCTTATCTTTTTGGTCAAAAGGGAATTCTTCCCTGCTGGACAAGTCGAGCCTGGTCACAGAAAAACCTCCTTATCTTTCTTGTTTTTACAGTGACAGCATAGATGGAACTGGAGGGGATGATACTAAGCAAAATAAATCAGAAGGTAAAAGAATACGGAAAAAAAAACTAATAAATTAAATTAAATCAAAGCAAGTTAGAAGTCTGAGTACAAAATTGAGGTTTAGAGAGGGAGGGGAGAGAGGGGTGGGGGAGTTCTGGAGAGGACTGTGGGTGCCTTAGCGATGGGCGTGGTGATATACATCTGAAGAAGTGTGAACCCACACCCCAAAATCTTATGCAATTTGTAAACCAGTGTTACCTCAATAAAAAATCTATAATTTGAAAAAGACACTGATAACATCATGGGAAATAAGTAAATACATTTGAAAAATAAATAACATTTAAAAGCCCTCCAAGGGTTCTTCTCAGTGGCAGTTCAGGCCCCTGCTTGAAAGAGAGCTTTGTAGGATGCTTCCGTCACACTATGTGCTCCGCTCTACCACCTCCAGCCCCTCAGCACTGACTTCCGGTGGCACAGAGGTGGAGTACTCATCCCTTCCCATGTCACCTGACTGGGGGGTCTGGGTTCAGTTTTACCCGCCTTTGAACCAGTGGAGTGAAGCTTTACTCTGCACGGATGCTGGCAGGACAGGCGTGTGCAATACCTGGCATGACAAGCAGATTATGTCTCCCTGCACCCCAGGTCTTACAGGGTGACATGGTGGGCACCTGAGGGTCAGAGCCAGGAGTGGGCGAGTAGGCCCCTTGCTGGCCAGCAGCAAGCCAGCTGCTCTGTAGCCCCCAGTATTCTTTTACCTTCTGATTTATTTTGCTTAGTATCATCCCTTCCAGTTCCATCTATGCTGTCACCAATGCAAGACTTCACCCCTTTTTTATAGCCGAATAGTATTCCACTCCTTGTGTATTCCACATCTACTCATCCATTACTGGGCCCTTAGGCTGCTTCATAACTTGGCTGCGGTGAGCATGGGAGGGCAGATCTCCCTTCAAATTAGTGTTTGTTTTTTTCTTTTTATTCTTCAGGTAATATGTAGGAGTGGTTACTTCATCACACAGTGGATCTGTTTTGATCTTATCTCACACCCCACACTGCACACACCTCCCCAAAAGTGGTTCAAGGAAGAGCAGCTGGCACTGTGCATCCTGAACACACTCTGCCAGCTGGGAGCTCCCCCCGCCCCAGGGCCTTCCCACTGCCTGCACCCAGCCTCCGACCTCAGAAGAGACCCCCTATCCATCCCCTCTGCCCCCCGGCTCTTCTTCGCCTGCATCCCTGTTCTCTTTGCTCCCTTCTCTCACTCTGGTGCTGCCCGTTCCTTACACCCACCTACATTCCTCCTTTTCCCAGCCTCTTTGACTCCAGCCTTTGGCTGAGCTGTTCTTTGTGAAGGTAGCAGAACGTTCCCCCCAAAAATAATGCAGTTTGATTTGTGGGTTATTTTTGAACTGTAGGCACTTGGAAAAATTAACTGGGGAGACAAGCTTTCCTGCCTAACAATGGACCCTCTGAGAGGAAGTCAACCGTCATAAACCCTCTCCCAGGAATTTCAGCAACTTGGGAGGACGGACTCATCCCACGGGACCAGTGACCCTGGGAGCAGATACAGATTGGACAGGTGAGGAACAGAGAGGCAAGGACTTGCTCAAGGCCTCACAGCACATGTGTGGCAGAGCCAGGGCTGAAGCTGGCATGTAGGGGTCAGAGTCCACACCACGTGTTCTCAGTGGGGGTGATGTTGAGAGACTGTCTCAGGGTAAAAATTGCTTCTCGTCTTTTTGCCTTCTTGTCTTCAGATACACATCCAGCTCATAAACAAGAGTAGTCAACATACCAATGTGAAAATTTCTTGAGAGGCAGTTGAGGAGACTTTTTGGGAGATGACAGTGAAAGCAAATGTTGAAGAAGATGTGTGCTCCTAATCCACAGCTCTGCTGTGCACTGTGTTTAATTCACAGCAGCGTGAGGAAAGAGGCAGCTTGGGACAAAGAAACAGGGCTGGAGAGGACGTGAGGAAGGGGCTGATATGTGTCTGCGTCAGGTACATGTACCTGCAGGCACATTGCCCACAGTATCTCCTTTCCATCTTCAGCCTCCAGATAGGCGTTACTATTTCCTTCCAGGTGAGGAAGCATGAAGAGAACAGAGCATTTCACTATCACAG